TCTATTTGCAGCTACATTCCTAAAAATCCAGTATATATAAATTCAACCCTAAAAATACTGCTTTATATGTAAAAGTATTGTGTTTATATGTAAAACAGTGCTATAGACCAAATGTTTGTGTCCCCTGCCTGCCAAATCCATGTGAAATCCCAGTGCCCCATTTGATGGCTTTAGCGGGTGGGGCCTTTGTAAGGTGGTTAGCTCTTGGTGGTGGAGCCCTTGTGAATGGGATAAGTGCCATCATAAAAGAGGCTCCATGGGGGGACAGAAGAAGATGACCCTCTGCAGTCTGGTGGAGGACTCTCACCATAACATGACCATGCTGGTTCCTTGAGCATAGACCTCCAGTCTTTAGAACTGTGAGAAATAAATTTCTGTTCCTAAGGCACTCAGTCTATGGTATTCTGCCATAGCAGCCTGAAAGGACTAAAGACAGTTACATTTCAGGCTCAGGTAATGATAAACTTAAGAAATTTCTTTTTCAGTCTATGTGAATGTTTCAGAAGGACATTGGGAAGTTGTGTAATATGTGAGACAATTCTTTTCTAGGCATATTGCAAGAAACCTAGCATCCCTGACTCCTCTCCTAAATTCAACTAGTGCTCCCCAATCCCAATGTTGAATGAAAATGAGAAATACGCCAGCAAACTTCGAAATGCTCCTCGAGGGGCTTCCACCCTCATTAAGAACCAGGTCAAGAGCACAGGGCCTCCCTTCTCCCATCTGGCATATCCTTCCCCCGGTTCTCAGATCATAGGAAGACTCATCTCCTCCCCTGAAAGTCTGGCTCTGGGAAAGGCCTTGGGTGGGACACTCAGAGTTAACTGAGTAAATCTCTATGTCCATCTTTCCATCTCCATTCTCCGAAATTTCACACACAACCTTGGAAGGAATTTCAAAAAGAGGCAGGAAGCAATGCAAATAACAAGCATATTATACCTAGAGCTGTGTTAGAAACAGTAACAGTGTTTCTCAGGGTGTGGTCAGATGATTATGTGCATCAAAAGTATTTGTTAAATATAAAGATTCCAGGGCTCCACTCCACACCTTTGAAATCAGATCTCTGGGGGATGTGGCCATAGAATCTGCACTTTCAACAAGCTCACCAGGTGATTTTAATGTAATCGAAGTTTAAGAGCCTCTGAAGTCATCATCATTGTCACCACCACCACACACAGCTCCAGTGTGGCCAAGAGACTCAGTGGGTACTTAAAGGACTGGCCTGCTTCAGGTTCCATTTGGAATTTTGGCAGTAACCCTGCAAGAGTTGCTGGGAAGCACCCATACCCCCAGGGCTGGATCCATCAGTTTCCTCTCCTGAGGACCACCCAACTTCAGGTCCTTTTCTAACCCTAACTTTCTGAAGCACTAAAACAATTCTACATATAATTCTACCTGTGAGTACACAGCAGTAAGGGAGGTCTAGTCCTAAGTGACATTTTTCCTTTACAAGTAAAACAAAATCAAATAGTTTTTGTTTCTCTTTATATAACTGTATAGACATAGACTAGATTTCCACACTCACTTCAAGTTTGGTTCGCTCACATTTTAAAGAATATTGAAGACTACTCCACTGGTATTAAATAATGATGATGATGTTAACATTGATGATACCTTACGCCCAGACACACAGAGCACAAGCAGCTTAGGCAGGATTCAAGCCCAGATTTCCCTGGTATTGAAGACTCAGCTCTAGTCACAATACCACACTGCTCTTTGACAAGAAGATCATGGATCTAGTTACACTGAATTACTTACTACACACCAGTGCTGCTGCATACAGTTCCCTAGACCTGTACTCAGGCCTCTGCAGAAGAATGAGAAAATCAGAAACTTGGAGTAAAGTGCCAGTACTTACAGCACAGGGTTTACAATGCAGGGAATTGGTTACAGAGGCAGGGGAGGAATCCAGAGCCAAACAGGACACAGAAAAGTAATCTAGAGATTTGTAACCACAGGAAGCTGCAGCCATCCTTGATAGAGGCAATTGGAGGAGGCGAATTTACCAGAGGGAGCAGGTCATCCCGTGAAAGCTGGACCCCCATAGACCAGTCCCCAAAGGAGAGCTGGTCACTCTGAAGAAGCCATGTGAGATGGGGAGAGAGGTAAGAAGTACTCAGGCTTCCCCACTCCAGTCTCCTGACTGCTGGCCAAGCCCAATCAGCAAATGCAGGAACCTGGAAAACTAGCTTTTGTGGGTTGTTTTCCTTGTGTACAAAGCAGAATCAGGGAGCGCAAGAACTGGGTCTGAGGGCAGACAGACCGTAACAGGCACAAACACAGCCACAGCTACAATGTATTTTGTTGTTTTCCAGGCTTTAAGGCTCGTTTAAATAGTAAACCCCCAATGCCCTTAGACTAACTTGATTTGACAAAGCATTTAAAAAAAAATTGCATATGACTTTAAAATTTCCTATAATGCAAATAGTAATTCACAGAATATTGGAAAATAAAGAAAGCATTATTGAACGTCTCCTTCCCAGGGCCACCAGAAACAATCGCCAGGCTAATAATTTGGAGTACAAATTTTTTTGATATTACTTGAGGGAAAGGAAGCTGGCTACAAATAGTATGATCATCTGGCTAGTACTTTTCGAAGACTGACTTACTGAAACATTTTAAAGGTGGCCTTCTGCATGATTATATAGTAGGAGGAGCTGGCAAGCTTGTGCTAAGTCCTGGACATAATTCTTCAGAAATGGGTGTCTGGAGGAACATCAAGGTGAAGGTCTTGAACCCGGAGTTTTCTGGGCTCAGGGACTGCCTCTGCCGCTTTCTGATTCACCTGCAGTCAACCTGAAGGAGAGTTCGAGCGCCCTCTCGGGGAGAGCCGGCTTTGAGCATGGTGGCTTTTGGAAAGGGGAAAGAAGGCGGTGGCTTTCAAGCCTGTTTGTAGTGTTGTCCTTTGTCTCCAAATACTCCACGAAACATGACTGTGGTCCTACAAGATACTGCGTCAAAAAAGAATCAGTACAGATAATATTTTGTGTGGCTGTCACATGTTCGGAGAAATTGCGAAATAAACGGCTCCCAGCAGCTGAGCTGAGGAGGCTTCAGTGCCCTCAAGCGCTCAGCCACAGCACCCGGCGGCATCTCCGCGGGGATCTAAGGAGAAGGGAAGCAGGCAGAATGTCTTCTGCAGGTATGACTCTCCTAACTTAAAGGACTTTAAAAAAATCACTTTATCCTGAATTTTTTGAAGGAGGTGGCTAAGTAGGGTAATTTGTGGTTAAGATCACAGACTTTGGAGTCTATCTGTCCTTTTATTCTCATAAGTCTGTCCCCTCTTCTGTACCTCTACTTCCACTGCTCCCTCCTCTGTGCTTATGGCCACAACCACTAACCGCCCCCCTCACCCTCCTGCTTCTGCTCTCTGCCGCCTGCGGGAGCTTGCTAAACAAATAAGATTAGTCATGCTCCCAATCCTCTGAAGGCTCCCCAGCCTCTAGGATGATGTCCACAGGGCACTTGGTCCCATCCAACCCTCCAGCGAAAACTCACCTACAGCCCCTGCTCTGGCGAGTCCTGGGCAGTCACTCACCTGCAAGACCAGCCCAGCGTTGCAGAGAAAGCTCCAGCCTCCCCTGGTCGGGGTAGATACTCACCCTAGCGATCTGCAATTATTGCCCTTCCCTTCGCTTCCTGGCAATGCCTCGTCCAGACAACGGGCTCTGAGTATTCCTTTGCGTATTTCCCGACACCCAACACCTGGGACGGAACCTGCGCTCAACGTTATTTGAAATGCACTTTTTACAGTTTGCACAGTATTTTCTCAGATTTGAAAGTTTAATCCCCACAAACATTCAGGTGGCAGTATTTTCTAATTTATACAGGCAAAAGAACTGAGGCGCAAAAAGGTCAGTTGCCCAGGTTAGATTCAAATGGCAGAACCGGTATTCGAACCCGTGGTTCTCTAAGGGGATAGCGCGCAGGATTGAGAATTTTGCAGATTTGGGCGTGAATCCCTACCCAGCCTTGGACTAGCTAAATCCCTGACCTCACCCCCCAGCGCCTACATCCTCACCCTTCAAGAAGACAGTAATTCCAATTCAGGCTTGTTACGAGGATTAAATAAAACAATGCCCAGAAAGTGTCTAACAGTGCCTGGCTCGCAGCCGGAACTATAAATGTGAGTTCCCTCCTGACCCAAGCTTGGCAAGCTGCTTCTCCTGTTTCTACAGCAGCTCCTCCTCTGAGCTCCCGAGGCCACTGGGGGTGCCAACTGTGGAGCACCGTGCCCGTTTAACGCGAGAGCTGTATCGGACACCAGCAATCTTTAAAGGAGTGTGAGACTACCGGCTCAGCAGTGAGAGGACAGTGGGGGAGGAAACCGAGGGGCCCTGGAGGCAGGGGTAGGACGGAGGGGCCTGTGGGGAGTGCTGGTCATCCAAGGGAAAGCCGGCGCCCGTGGCATACACCGCGAGGGGCCAGCCCACGCCTCCCGAACCCTCAGTTTCCTCCAGGTGGCCAGCGCCCGCTCCCTTCTCCCCCACGCCACCTCTGCTACTAGCCTGCCTCCCCAGCTCCTGGCACTGTCCCTGCGGCCTCCAAAGCCAGGAGGGTCGCGAGCCCCGCCCCCATGCCCCCGCCCCCACCCCGGCGCCGGCTGGCGGGAGGCCGGACATGCGCACCGGGCGGCCGGGCGCCGGGCGCGGGGAGGCGGGGGAGAGCGAGTGCAGTCTCTCTCCGCGGGAGCGGCGGGGGCGGGCGCGGGCCGGAGCGGGCGGGCGCTGCGGGGAGCTGGGCGGCGGTGGGCGGGGAGTGGGACACGGGAGCCGGGAGCGCGCCGCCAGCGCAGCCGCCGGAAGAGTGCGGGTGTCCGCGACCACGCCGGCCGACCCACTAGTCCTGAGCGCAACATCCAGGGAATGCCAGTCGCACGGGGCCGCCGCGTTGCTGTGCGGGGAGAACTCAGGCGGCAGTGACCTCAGCAAGACGCCGGCGGCTGCGAGCCCTGCGGGGATCCTCCGGGCCAGGGGTGCGGGGGGACGGCGGCGGCGCAGGAGCGCGGGGTGCAGACCGGGCGGGGCTGGGGGACAGTGATGAGCGAGCGCGCCGGGAAGCTGCACGCCACCGCCGCCGCCCGGAGCATCTGTCGCTCGAGCTGCTGCTCCCGACCCGGGACACGGCCATGGAGACACTGAACGGCCCGGCGGGCGGCGGCGTCCCGGACGCGAAGCCGCAGCCGCCCGGCCAGAACCACCGCCACCACCACCTCCACCCGCTGGCAGAGCGTAAGCGGCTACACCGCGCGCCTTCGCCCGCCAGACCCTTCCTTAAGGACCTGCACGGCCGGCCCGCCGCGCCCGGCCCGGCCCAAGCCGCCCCCTCCCCCGGCCGATCGCCGGCGCCTGCCGCCCCGCGCTCGCCCAGCCTCGCGGGCAAGGCGCCTCCCTCGCCGGGGCCCCTGGCCGCGCCCAGCCGCCTCTCTCGGCGCAGCTGCGGCGCTCCCGGCGCGAAGGACAAGCCGCCGCCGGGTGCTGGGGCCAGGGCAACGGGTGGTGCCAAGGCCGCTCCGGGCCCGAGGAGGGCGACGCGTACGGCGCCCGCGGAGCCGCTGCCCCGAGCCGGCAGACCGCCGCCGCCGCCCGGCACCGAACCGCCGCTGGCCGCTACCAAGGGCCGAAAAGCCAAACGCGGCTCCGGGGCAGTCCCCTCCCGTGCCTCCGCGCCCCCGATCCCCCCCGCCCCGATCTCCGCCGTGACCTCCGCGGCCGGGCCCCTCGCCCCTGGCTCCCGCATCAGCCACACGGACAGCAGCTCCGACCTCTCCGACTGCCCTTCCGAACCCCTGTCCGATGAGCAGCGCTTGCTCCCCGCTGCTAGCAGCGATGCCGAGTCCGGGACGGGCTCCAGCGACCGGGAACCGCTGCGAGGAGTCCCCACCACGAGCGCCGCCGCGCGGGGGGCGCCGTCCGGCAGTCCCGAGCCCCCGGCGCTCCTCGCCGCGCCTCCCGCCGCCGGCGCCTGCCTCGGTGGTCGGAGCAGCCCGGGAGGGGTCTCCGCGGGGTCCCCAGGGCCGAGTGTGGCAGAGGATGTCGGGGGACGCGCGCCTCCGGAGCGAACTGTCCCCGGGACCCCCAAGGAGCCCAGCCCGGGCGAGCATCCCCGGCTGGTACCGGCGGCGGCGGCGGAGGAGCTGTTGCGGGAGATGGAGGAGCTGCGCTCGGAAAATGACTATCTCAAGGTGAGCAGCCAGCTCGTCGCAGGGGACCCGGAGGCGACCCGGGAGAGTCGGGTGCGGGCAGGAACCTGCGAGCCCCGCCTTCCCGGTCCTGATGAGCGCCTTCTCCCGCCTGCCGGTCCCTGCCCCTGCACGCGCTGGGCTTGGGAACTTAAGCCACAACTTACGGAAGGAGCAAGACCTTTGGGTCCCGGCCAGCTCTAAAAACCCACTTCACTTTTCTTGTTTCTAGAAGTCTTGCTTCTCTCCGCTGATGCTTTTGGCGTGTGGATTTGCTGGGGGAGCAGGAGCTGTAATTGCATTTTGGATACACAGCATTCTCCTCCCGTTCCCCCGCCCCGCGCCTCTCCCCATATACTGTGGGCCCCCCTCGGGCGTGTGTACTGGTTCCAGAGGGGTCGGTGGCCCAGGCTGCGGGCTCGCATGCCGCTTCTGTGTCTCCCTCAGGGGCCTGGTCGTTCGGTGATAGACCTTAAATTGAGGGGGTCGCTTGAGTGTCCCTGAGTTGAGAGAAATGGTGTCTCGCTGGCCAGTCCTTTGTAAACGTCACTTATTTTTCCGTGCGAGGAGAGGCCACTCGATTCCCTCTACATGCCCTCACTTTCGAGGGAATCACAACCTCGGCCGCCCTTCTCTAAGTATTTTCCATCAGGGCCTGCTAGCAGTAGCCTCTTGGTCTTGTTAGCTTTGGGGCACTCAGTCGGGCTCCATCTTTTCTCCAAGGAGGAGGCCTAGCGCTGCGGAACAGAAGGTTTAGACAATGCTGGCGGGTCAGTCCGTCGAGGTGACTTGAGAAAAAATAAGGGGGACTGTATTGAGGACAATTATTTTAATTTATTGTAATCCTCAGGTTAGTAAATAGCTACAGTGGTATAAATCTATTTTTTAATGTCTATTTTCTATAAATCATATTTCTGTTTATAGATAGAGATTTCTGATATCCTGCCAGGCCAATGGGGGTGGCCTTCTTACAATGGGTTGTGTGCTTTGTGCCATTTTCTCAGCAAATGCTGAACCTCCCTAAATGAGGCCCAATTTTCAGCTCGTGGAACCAGGGCATGGGCAACCAGGTGGACAGTGAAGTGTGCTATTTAAATTCAGACCAGTTTTATCAGGTGCTGCTTTGACCTGAGCCCAGTAGTCATTTTATCTTGTGCACAGGTTAACAGGGAGGCAGAGGAGGGAGGTGAGAAGAGAGGGCAGAAAGGGCAAATATGTAACTCTGGGTGAAATCATCACTTTTGTAAATCTGCACCAAATATATGCTCCCTGAGGGTGAGAAAAACGATCTTGTTCAGCTTGATAGCTCCAGCTCTTGGCATAATCCCTGACCCACAGTGTTTTTGATGAAATAATGTTTATGCCAATCATGATTGCTAAGCAACAGAAAATTGAGGTTTTTGGAAAGAAAAGATGTTTGAGATGTACATCTTTGAAGTTAAGTTAGGCAGTCTGGCATCATTTCAGGGTTCATTCCCAGGTAGCTGGTTATTTGCATTATCTTTTCAGATTTGGAGTCTCAGTGAGTGAAGTAGGTGTCTAACTCTGAAGTCTGAGCTGATTACTTCATATTTCAGTGAATCTTCACAACTAGGGTATAATTGTTGTTATAGTTATAACCCCAATTTCACAGACAAGGCTGCTGAGAACCAGAAGATGTAAATGACTTGCCCAGGGTCATGCAGCTCAGACGTGGTGCAGCTGTCTCTGATTTTCTCTGCTTCCAGAGCCTTTGCTCTTTTCATTGCACCAGGCTGCCTCCCTATTTCCAGCAAGGCTGGCTTTCTCGGAGAACACTGCTTGCTTAGGGTTGTTTTATTAGTTCAAAATGTTCCCAGTATTTAGTTTTCCTAAGGGATCTCTTTTCTTTTTAGGTAAAGAGCCATAAGGAACAATTCTCCAACAATCTTGTATACAGATGGTCATATAAATCCCACTGGCAATGTTTAATTTGTGGGAAATGTTCAGTTGCTATTTCCTGTGGAGAAAGTGTGGTGGCCAACCATTTACTATGCCTAAGTAATGTAGTGTCATGTAAACTTACTATTTCCTGGTCTTTCCTCCGACAGCAGGAGAGAGAAGTGGGTAGAAGACCTCTGAGTGAGGATAGAAAGTCAGAAGTATGATCACAAATACTCATGTGAGTTACATGTTCAGTTATTGAAAAGCTTAAATTATGAGTTCAACTTGGGAAAGAAACACAACAATCCAGGTAGACTTTTCTAAAGGTCAGTGACCCTTCCACTTATGCAAAATGGGGCTGGGCTGTGAGCATCTCTTGACCTCCTGGGGCAGTGGCAGAAGGCATGTCTGTGTACATGGGACTCAGAGTGTCCACATGTAAATTGAAACTTCTCGTTTAGTTGCTCCTGTTGCTTAGCAATACTTTTTTGAGATGGTAGATAAAGTGTATCCTTGACCTACTGCTTCCTTAGGGAATGTTGCACAGAACTCTCACTATTAGATAGAAAATTCCTCTATTATCTAACAAGGAGAGACTAAGCCCAGAAATTTTACTTTGGTATATGCTTGAGCATTGTGACCACATGAAGTATTGCATTCTTTCCTGAGTCAATTTTGTCACCCTTACTATATAAGACTCACACTTTCTGAGCTAGAATGACCAAAGGGTAATCAAGAAGAAAAATAAGGCCTGCAAAAACATAGGAAGATGTCTTATTTATTGATTGGAAAATTCAAGTGGAATTCTCATGGTTTTTAGCCAGACTATTGTATTTTTTATTTTTTATTTTTAATTAAAAAATGTTTTTTATTAAGGTATGATTGATATATACTCTTATGAAGGTTTCACATGAAAAAACAATGTGGTTACTACATTTACCCATAATCAAGTCCCCACCCATACCCCAATGCAATCACTGTCCATTAGTGCAACAAGTTGCCAGAGATCCACTATGTCCCTTCTCTGTGATACACTATTCTCCCCATGATCCCCCACACCATGTGTACTAAACATAATACCCCTCAATCCCCTTCTCCCTCCCTCTCCAACCGCCTTCCCACACCCCTCCCCTTTGGTAACCATTTGTTCATTCTTGGAGTCTCTGAGTCTGCTGCCATTTTGCTTCATTGTTATACTCCACAAATGAGGGAAATCGTTTGTCATTTGTCTTTCTCTGCCTGGCTAATTTCACTGAGCATAGTGTCCTCCAGCTCCATCCATGTTGTTGCAAATGGTAAGATTTGTTTCTTTCTTATGGCTGAATAGTACTCCATTGTATATATGTACCACATCTTCTTTATCCATTCATCTAAAGATAGACACTTAGGTTGCTTCCATATTTTGGCTATTGTAAAAAGTGCTGCGATGAACATAGGGGTGCATATGTCTTTTTGAATCTGAGAAGTTGTATTCTTTGCGTATATTCCAAGGAGTGGGATTCCGGGGTCAAATGGTATTTCTATTTTTAGTTTTTTGAGGAACCTCCACCTTGCTCTCCGCAATGGTTAAACTAGCTTACATTCCCACCAGCAGTGTAGGAGGGTTCCCCTTTCTCCGCATCCTTGCCAACATTTGTTGTTCTTAGTCTTTTTGATGCTGGCCATCCTTACTGGTGTGAGATGATATCTCATTGTGGTTTTAATTTGCGTTTCCCTGATGATTAGTGATGTGGAGCATCTTTTCATGAGTCTGTTGGCCATCTGAATTTCTTTGGAGAACCTTCTCTTCATATCCTCTGCTCACTTGTTAATTGGGTTATTTGCTTTTTGGGTGTTGAGGTGTGTAAGTTCTTTATGTATTTTGGACGTTAACCCCTTGTCGGATATGTCATTTACAGATATATTCTCCCAAACTGTAGGATGTCTTTTTGTTTTGTTGATGATGTCCTTTGCTGTTATTGTATTTTTTAAAATAGCAAATGGTAACAGAGAAGTGCATATCTGTTGTGCAGTGTGCAACTGTATGGGAACGTCCCCTGACCTTGCTTTCTATTCCTTTTTTACCTTCATCAAAGGGCCCCAGGGTGACTAGATGAAACATGCACACTCAGTCCAGGTGGCCGGCTTTTTGCATGAAAACGTCAGGAATCCACTCTTGTTATCCCCTTACCTCTGATGAACTTGAATGTATCTGTCTGGAAGTCAGAAATTAAGGTGAGCAGTTGAGTTCAGTTATCCAAAGGCATGTTTCTTAATCATAGGACTTGTACAGAATGCCTTTGGAGTGTTTCCTCCCTGCCTGCCACCACTGTGTTTTGCTTGAGTGCTCCGAGACAATCAGACAAGTACTAGTGCTCATGGCGAACATATTACTTATGTTCTCTGTTTTCACATGCTTTCGAGGAGAATTTAATCATTTTGAGTTTATTGGTCTATTTTGAAAATGCTGGTGATGTGCTCATAATACAGTTCTCCTATCCCCAGATAGTGTACCTCCAAATGCTGATATCTTCCTGCAAGATGGGAGTGGGTTGGTGTGGAGAAGGACTGCTTATTTTTGGTTAAAACAAAAGTAATTGCTGGCTGCAGGGTAGATAATATTGGATCCTTTGAGAGGAATTATTTTCTAAAGAGATGGTTGGTAGGTCATTTGGTTTTATCACCACTCATCCAAACGTACCAGCCTGCTTCTCATTTGAGGTAGTCTTTTGAGTTTCAAGCTTTGAAATGGTTTTGTTAAGCCTGCATTCCACGTGCTTGGGGTAGGAGTGGGGCCACTTTAAGGAGAGACTAAGCAGTTCTGAGCAGCTACAGTGCTTCAGCTGCTCTGTCCCCTGGCCCTGCTCCTGCTCCCTTTCTCTTAGAAGGGTGAAAGTGGACAGTATTCCTATTCTTGCCTGGCATTCCACTTTGCACACCCATTCTTTATTCAGTCTGTGAAAGTGGCTGTATTAGTCTTAGGTGGCAAGATAATACCGCCCAGAGCAAGCAGAGCCCATCAGCTGTTGGGTGAACTGTCACTTGGTAAACAATGGTAGCGGCCTGTGTGGCTGCTTAGCTACAGCTGGGACTCTGCAGTGAACATTTCCATTGTCCAGAGGGAAATGAGGTGAATTATTTGTATATTACAGCAGACAGTAGTTTCTGCCTACATCTCCCAGAAGATGGAATTATTGCAACAGTAGCCAGATGACTATTCCTACTGTCCAAACTGGGTCTGTTTAAGAAGGGTTATTAAAATAGAAGTAGTTATTGATTTCAGGTTGTTTAAAGAAGAATAAGATTTGAATAAAATTATCAGTATGATCAAAAGTTTTCATCACTTATACCATGGATGGTTTTTATGTTATATATGTGGATAAAAGTATCATAGAGATTTTCATTAAAATATTTCATTTTAACCTTGGTTTACTCTAGTATATACATGGTATACACTTTACTTTGATATATATATATAATAAGGCTTGATGTGTTCTCGGCGGGCAAAGTTGGGAGCTTCACATTACTTCAAGATTGCACTTTATATATGAAATTTGAAAAATATATTTAATTAAAACTGAATTTGCTTTTGAATGAGGTAATGGAGGTAACATTTAAGCATCCAACAGACCTGATGTTAATTCAATATAAAACTGTTGATTAAGCACAATTTTTCCCTTATTAGTTTCCGTGTTTTTTCTACTTTTACTTACCACGTCTAAATTATGTCTGCCTGAAACATTGTATGTTCTGCTTGATCTTGTTTTCTTAAACATTTAAATGGCAGACATCTTTAAGGTTCTTTAACACAATTTATTCTAGATTAGAGCATGCTGTCAGAAAATTAATGTTATGTTAGTTTAAAATCACTATCCATCATGACACTAATCTGAATAATCACAGTTTTTGCTTTTCAAATGTCTGCTGCTAGTTTATGTGGTTTATAATTTGCTTTTCTTGTAACTTATTTTCACTGAACCTGAAAATTGCTTTGAGGCTCTATGAAAAGAATCAAAACACTGGCCTTGGTCCCGTCTCTGCAGCAGACTAGTGTTTGGAGACCATTTAAACTTTTAGAATCTCAATTTCCTCATTTTTAAGATGGGGGTATCTTTATGGCACACTGCCCTATTTTTCTGAAGCCCAACTGCAATAATGGATATACTCTTATGTTGACAGCTGTCAAACTCTTAATGCTAGCCTGCTTTTATTATTTTACACAAGTGGTGGCCTTTTGAAAAAGTATGATTTAAGGCTTATTATTGTTTCACTTGTCCAAATTGTTGCAAATAACAGTATTTACTGGAAAGAGCCTGTGTTTGGAACAGACAGCCTGGGTTTGTAGTTTAGCTTCTACTTATTAGCTGTGAGATTTTGGCTATGTTAAATGGCATGGGTTTGGTCTTGTCTTTAAAATGCGGTAACAATGCTTCTGGCAGGGTTACTACAGGGTTATTGATGAAGGTAAAATGCTGAGTAAAGGGTGTCTTCTGTTCTACAAATGTAGAAAAGATATGGATCATAAAGGTAATGGTTCAAATACATGCAATTATGGTCTCACCCTAATTTTTTTCAGTGCCATTAATGTTAATGATTATTTATGTAAAAAAATATTTGCTGTTTTTCTCTGGCCTACTCAGTGATTTGGAGGTGTGGGTTCATCTAGCGCTTGGACAGGTTGTTAAGCCTGCAGTGCTTGTTCACCTCTACATATCGTATCTAGCATTTAACATTGGGGTCAGTGAGGGCCCTCCTGGTAAAGTATGAGAACTAGAGAACATTTTTATACCTGGAAGTTGTTATCTTATATTTTCCTTAGGCTATATCAATCACATTTTAAAAGGTTTTGTTTGAGTAACAGGTAATTCCAGTCATTAGTGACTTTGGCTATTATTGATAAGCTTTCTAGAAAGAAAACCAATCACAATTCCTTCCATGAATAGAACAGACAAAGTCACTATATGTTTGTATGTATATATATGCCCATAGTGATTATTACTTGTACTGAACCATTTTTTACTAGTTACTCAATGAAACAATTACCTTTCACTGTACCCAGACACAAGTTAGAGATTAAGCTCTTTCTCAAAGTCAGATCCATTATATTCATGGACGGAACCTTGATTTTGAAGATTCAGGACTAGTGTTACTGTTTTCCAGAGTGACGTTGTAATGTTTGCCATCTGTGGTTGGTGTCCTCCAGCATGGGTTGTGTCAGGGGCACGGTTCCCATGTGCTGGCATCAAAGCCACAGTGTAGGGAGCAGGCATCAGTATCCACCTCTTCTTTGCTAAAGATCAGCAGGACCTTCCTGAAACAGCTGTGTTCTCCAGCTTCCTGAAGAGTCTGGCCTGTCCATTCTGTTCATGTACGTTCAACTGGCTGACCTATGCTCAGTCCAGTAACTCCCAGTCCCATTAAATTTTCCTACCAAGAACAAGTTCATAGGAAGAGATCTCCAAGAAGGAAAAAAGAAATGAAACTTGCCTGTACATCACTTTTTCAATGTTGAGATTTACCTTCTTAAGACACATAGAACATCTCATTTTTTAATGAGGTATTGTCATCACTGGTAGAGAAATTCTGTAGGAGTACGTAGAAGCCAAGAAGAAGAACATTTTGTTCATTTGACCACTAGGGAGTTGGCATACCTTCTTCTTTAGCATCCATTCTCCTTGGTAGTTCATTGAAACACTCTGTTAGGAGTCATGGTTCAATGAGTTGGTCATTTTCTTGCTTAGCGTAGTGTGGACAGTTTGAGGAGAATCTAAAGGCTGGGGCTTGGGAGCATGAGATGCCACGTCTGTGCTCTTTCCGGCAGACCACTGCATGCAGCTGAGGCTGGCTGGACGATTGTCTTCACCCTATTTGTGTCAACCTGTATTTTTCCATAAGGATCCCCAATTTATTTGTTAACACTTGTGCTTAATTTTATCCAGAATAAAATACTCTTCAGGAGGTTTCTTTCTGGTCAATTTCTTGTCTACCTGATGCTCTGATGTGGTGAAATTCTTGTTTTTTATTGTAAGTAAATCCCTGCACAAATGCAGGATTAGTGGGAGTGTTGAGAATCCTGGACAAGAATGGACAATTTAGGGTGTCTCTGTTTGGGAGTGTTTTTCCTTGAGCTGCAATACTAATTCAACAAAACAAACGGGAATGAGTGGGTGTATCCTTGTCTGGAGGCATTTAAACCGTTAATTATCAAACTAATCAGGAAAATTCCTAGAATGCTTTCCTTAATCTCCCACCTTCCAAACTGCCCCTCATTAAGATCTTTTATAATACTTCAACAGAATTTATGTCTCTCATGCTGCAGCTGTGTCTATGGGTTGGGAAGAATATTTTGTAATTAGGCTATAAGAATGGACAAAACAAAAGTGCAGTTATGTCTAGTTTTGGTTGTTTTAATGATTTGTTCTTTCTTGGTATTGACTGATGTTCATGTGTATTCATTCCACAAATATTTACTGAGGGCCTACAGTGTGGCTCACACCATTCTGGGTGCTGCCCACACTCCAGGTGTCTGCCCTGCTGGAGCTTAGTTTTTAGTGTGGGTGCAGATGAATGGGGAGAAACAAATAATACTAGACAGTGATAAGAGGTAGGAAGAAAATGGAGCAAGGCAAGGGACTGCAGGCAGTGGAGGTTGGGAGAAAGGCATTGTGTGTCTTCCACCTTGCATGACAGTGAGCTCTGCAAAGAGCCACAGTGTTTTAAGGAGCGGGCATAACAGGTGCAAGGCCTCCAGCAGGTTGGGCCCTGGGAGGTCAGCAGTGTGGCAGGAAAGGAGGGTGCAGCTCACAGGCCCTGGGGAAGACTTTGAATTTTCTCAGTGCAAGGGGAAGCCCCCAGGAGGGTTTGAATAGGGGTAGGTGGTCTGAGCTACATATTAAAAGGCTAAGTCTCTGAGTGGAGAATGGGATGTGAGGATAAGCTGGCCAGAGGGGAAGCAGGTGGCCCCACATGCTGGACTCACCTGTTTCTGCAGCTGCTCCCTTGAGAGGGATGCAAGTAGGATCTAGCCCAGTGGTGTGGCATTTTCATGTTGAGCTGACAGCCCTGGAATGGCTGTGGATTGGGAGGAAAGGTGGAAGCTAGGGATAGCTCCTGGATCTCTCCCATCTCCAGAGTGTCTTCATGTTGATGCCACTGTGGGGTTGAGAAAGAAAGGATAGGTGAAGGGGGGAGAAAAAACCCTCATGTGTATTTGAAATGATGCAGAAGGTTTTATCTTTAGAATTGTGAGTCATGTAGTTACTGCTGAGATTTGGATTGTGGAGCAGAATTTTAGGGACACTTGAAAGTATGTTATAGTTCTAGGATATTTCACAGTTATGAACCCACTAAAGTTTATGTTCTTTGAAGGCAGGGTCTGTCTGACTTATCTTAGTACCTAGATTGTGCCTTAGAAATAAACGTTTAGGTAAGTGTTTGATTTGAAAAAAAGTTGAATTATCTGCAAAGTGGATTTCATTTGTGATTAAGATATAGAAGGAAATCCTGGGAGTGAAATAAATATGAGAGGCTGCAGTGAATACGCCATGCTGGTTTTTGGTTTTTGTATCCATAAGATTTGAACAGGTGCCTGGTGATATTGTCTCACATGAGAATTTCCAGAGGTCCCTGTGTCCCTGAGTCCTGTCACACAGGTGTGGCCATAGGCCCATGGGGAAGCATGCAGGCACTTCATGTTTGGGATTGTAGAGCAGGGGGCTGGGGGGAGGCACAGCATCATATTTTCTTGATGGACTTGGCTTATAAATCTCTGTCTGGCTCATGTAGGATGAGATGGATGAACTACGTGCTGAAATGGAAGAGATGAGAGACAGTTATTTAGAGGAAGATGTTTACCAACTGCAGGAGCTTCGGCGAGAACTGGACCGTGCAAATAAGAACTGCCGGATCCTGCAGTACCGCCTCAGGAAGGCTGAGCAGAAGAGCCTGAAAGTGGCTGAGACTGGCCAGGTGGATGGCGAGCTGATCCGAAGTCTGGAGCAGGACTTAAAGGTGAGTGAGTGGGCTGATGGGACACTCTTCCCAGAGGGGCTGACACTGCAACTCTCGGACCCACTTACACATGGTCGTAATATTCTGTGTTTCTCTCTCAACAGATTTTAGCATAAACATCCTTCGCCCACTTAATGGCTTTTTAGGGTGTATGTAGTCATATGACTTTGATGGCCCAAGACTTAAATCTGTCTCATGACCTGGAATCTTAAAATATGAAGAAAAGAAACAAACCATAGTAATAGATCTACGATAAAAAAGGATTAATATTTACCAATTGATGTGTTAATTGTGTAGAAACTGTGCAGAACCTCCTTGTAAAGATCTGAAGTATTTAAAAAAATCTATCAGTTATCAATTCAGTTATAGTCAAAGACTACTTATAGAGGTTGACCATCATCTCTTAACATTTTTATTGTTACTGGAGTTTCTAAGATGCAGGAAATTACCATAACCCAAGTGAGACTTGTTTATTGGAGATTTAACTGAAGGAGAAAAAGGATCTTAATGACAGTGCCCACTGAATGACATGGGGGTGACCCCCTGTGCATTCGAAAATCTGCGTATAACTTTTGACTCCATAGAAACTTTACTACTAATAGCTTACTAGTGATCAGAAGCCTAACTGATAACAAAAGCAGTCTATTAACACATATTTTGTATGTTATATGTATTATATACCTTATTCCTACAATAAAGCAAGTGAGAGAAAAGAAAACGCTTTTACAAATTGTTGCAAATCTGCAAAGGCTTTCTAATGTGTTTATAGAAGAAAATTCTTGTGGAAGTGGACCCATGCAGTTCAAACCTATGTCGTTCAAGTGTCAACTGTAATTGTCTGGAAGTGTCTTTAAGAATCATTGGCAGAAGTGAAAATTAGGTGAAGAAATCCCAGCCTTTATACCACTTGCTCCCTCCATGGGAGGTATGGCTTCTCTCATGCCCTGATTATCAAATCATTTATCTGGAGTTGAATTATGCATAGTTATCCTTATTATGGCAGTACTGAGGAAATCTCATTTAGTCTTTCATTATGATAGCAGGAAAAGAATCTTTGTAATTCTAACAAATCTATAAACCACTAACAAAATGTCATTAAATGTGATATAAAGGTGATTTGTATTTCTCTTGCAAAATCTCTTTCCTCATTTCCTTTTAGAGAGTAAAAACATTCACCTGCTTTTAACATTCAAATTATTTTATCACTTGCCTACATTAAACATTTATTGCATACAGAGTTATTTGTGTTTTGCAGGTAGGCTTAGTATTACCTTAGGGGATAGAAGTGTCTATTTGTTTATTATTTTTGAATAATTATTTTTATGATTATTTCTAATTAATAATTTAAAGCATTGGGCAAAATTGGCATTCTTGGTGGAGGCAGGGGCTATCCAAAGTGGCCTTTTAATTCAGATAAAAGTCATATGGTTCCTCATAATGTGAATTTAGTGTTTTAAACTAACACCCTCCTCCTTTACAGATAGGCCTGTTAATATTGCCAGGGTCTTTGCTGTTTGGTGTAATATCCTATTACTTAATGATTCTGCATCTGAAGTTGTCTGAACGTACCCTTAGCACACAGAAAGCTTCATGTCCTGATGACTATCTCTGTTGGTCGGTGCAGGTAGCCAAAGATGTATCTGTCAGATTGCACCATGAACTTGAAACTGTGGAGGAAAAGCGTGCTAAAGCTGAAGATGAAAATGAAACTCTCAGACAGCAGATGATCGAAGTGGAAATATCCAAACAGGCCCTCCAGAATGAGCTGGAGAGACTGAAAGAGGTAATACAGAAATGTATGGCAATTTCTCCCATGGGTTTAATTGTTAGGAACTTGGCACTAGGTGCTCCATTCTTATTGTAGGCTAACTACATTTGTTTGTAGTAAGGCAGGTTCAGCAAACTACGTTTGTTTGTAGGCTCGGGAACTGAGATTGGTTTTTACATTTTTTTATAGTATTGTAAAAAGAATAGCAGCCTTAAAATAAACCTTAAAATAAACCTTAAAAAGTAAATAAGGCTATACAACAAAGACTGTCTGTTGCTTACAAAGCCTAAAATATTTGTTATCTGGCCCTTTGTCGAAAAGCTTGTTGAAACCTAGGCTATAGCTACTTTTTATAATTTCTGTTGGGATGACCCCTTTTATTGGTCCAAATAGGGTAAGTTGTTACTAGAATGCAAAATTAAGCAGTAGCTTTTATCTCAAGAGTCTTCTCTCCCAATGAACTGGAAAATCATTACAGTTGTTTATTAAAGCTGTGCAAATAGATAGTATGTATATGCCATGTATATATATTATTCAATCAATATGATTTAAATGTAGACTTTTTTTAATTTTTGGAGTGAATATGTTCTAGCAAAGTGATCTAGGAAATGAATATATATATATATATATTTTATTTGGGTACAGTAATGCAAATCTTGCTTTGTTGACATCGGTTATAAGATTAAAGCTGAATATATTCTTGAAAAATATCCTGCATATTGATGAAGTTAAAAAATTATTGGTTAAGGCTTAAAGGTAATAGCTAACACCAGCACATGACCTGCAAGGAGCCTCACTCAACAGCTCATTTTCCTTTGGATAAGTTTCCTGCTTCACCCAGCCATTCCTCATCTATCCATGTCCCTCCACCCAAGCTGAATTCAGGCACTGTACCTGCCCTGGGGATGCAGGTGTGGGCGTGGAGCACAGGCCCTGCTCTCAAGGTGTTTGCAGTTCAGTTTGGTACATGGATAGCAAAACAATTAAACTACAGTGAAGGAGCCGGTGTTATGACCTCCCTGCTTCCTGCCCCACCTCCTCACAGCCCTGTGAGCTCACCTTCGCATCTGATGCAGTAAGGATTTTGGTAGATCGTTTGTATATTGTCACCACTTATCTGAAAATGCTGTGTTTTATTTCTTACCAGTGATCCTGTCACTAATGAGCTCCGTGGGATGGAGGTTTTGTCTGTCCAGTTCACTGTGGGGTCCCTGTGTCTCAAACAGTGCCTGGCACATGGGCGTTGTTGGGGGCCCTGTGGGTGAGGGAGTGAATGAAAGGTGGGAATGTGGAGCTGTGGTAATTGCAGCTTGCTGGGGGGTGCTCAGTGAGCTTCGCAGAGCCAGAGGTAACTCCTGAGAACATTCTTTCATTGTGGGTAAGCCTTTCCCTTTAACTTATACAAGTACTTACCCCCCAGACCATAGGAATTTCTCCTCCGATTGTGGGTCTGCTACCTCTACACTTACTGTTCCCAGTGATTTACTCCCCTCTTTTCCTTTGGTCTGGGTGTGCTAGAAGTGTTGCTACAATGTTTCTTTTCTAAAAATTTCCAGTTTGAGCCTGACCTTGAGGATATAGAAAACAGTATTTTACTACAGTAGACAATTTAAAACTTGCCTACATTAAAACAATTTAGGAGTGTATTTTATGAATTTTGTATGTGTGTACATTTGTGTATAAATATATAAATTATGTATACAGAAGCAAATAAATAAATATATTTTAAGCAAGCAAAGATTCTTTTGCACAAGTTTAAATGGATTTGTGCAGGACATAAATAACCCTTTGGGGGAGAGAAGTGATTATTGACATTCAAAGTTAGGCAGGGGTGGGGCAAGGCACTTCAGAGAGCAGCGATATTGGCTCAAGCTGGAGGTGAGGAGGGCAGGTGCAGGGTCAGCCCCCCCCTCCCCCCGCCGCCTTGCTTTTATGGGTACAGTTACGCAGAGGAATTGCTCAGTGGGGATGCAGTAAGTATTTTACCTCCAGCATTGCTGTCAGTGGGATTGAATATTCACACCAAACTGCTAGACAAAGGCAAGACTGGCAGGAGTCTGGGTAGGGTAAATGCTAGAAGTAAGGATGATGGAGCCAAGCGAGACAAGGTTCAAAGGTGGTGGGGGAGGTATTTACTGGAAAATGCCAGCTCTGGTCTCTGTGAATGGGTTCTTTTTGCCAAAGCCAGAACAAAATACAGTATTAGTTTTGTTTTCTCTACTCTGAGCCTTGCTTATTATTGTTCACCTCGGAAGTTTTGTAAATAGGTGCGTCACGTTCTGAAAAACACAAGGACAGTTCGTGTGTTGTGTGTGTCTCTAGATGACAGAAGTAGTAGCAGATACATGTTACCCATCAGCCTCAGAGGACAGTAAAACTGAAGAGCTCCTGGGGCTTCTCCCTTAAGCTGCAGGCTGTATTTTCATCTCCTTGGTGGACTTCTCCAGGATAGATTTCCTAGCATCTCAGACTCAGTGTGTCCAGAACCAGACTTCTCACCCTCGTCCCTGTCTGAACCTTCATCTGAACCTTCTTCTATCTTCCTCATTTGTGCTAACGGTGTCACTGTCACTGTCCTTTTAGTCACCCAGGCTTACGTGATGACAGCTACCCTTCCCTCTCTTTTTTCCTACCCTCAGTCACCTGCTACATGCTCCAGTTCTGCTGTTCTGCTTTTGCAATCTTAGGAATTTTCTTTCTCACTGGTACATCCACAGGATGGATGAACCTCCAAAATATACCAAGGAAAAGAAGCCAGACATATTGTATGATTTCATTAATAGGGAATATCCAGAGAAGGAGAAGGCATAGAGACAGAAAACAGACTAGTGCTTTCCAGAGGCTGGGAAGGGGGAGAAGGAAGACTGGCAGCTGAATGTGTACAGGATTTCCTTTTGGGGTCATAAAAATGTTTTGGAACTAGACAGAGTGACGGTTGTACAACGTTGTGACCATACTAAATGACACTGAATTGTACACTTCAAAGTGGTTCATTTTAATTCCAGTGAAAAATGTTTGCTTTCTGTATTCTATTCATATTTTCACCCATCTCCTCTCAAATGAATATTTGAGGGCTTGGCACTATGCAATCACCACATTAAATCCATGCACTATTTCTAATCTCCCCCTTTTCTCTTTATCTTCTACAGCCCCCCAAATCTGACAGTGCTACTCTCTGCTTCAACAAAAAAACTTGCTTTCGCTCCCTGTTATCTAACTCTTGATCATGACACAGAAGACCTTTCTTGCCTGGCCCTTCCCCATCTCCCACTTCAGTTTCCACCCCATGGGCAGTTGAGAAAGCTAAGAGACTCTGCCCCCTGGTCCTCTTTGAACTCAGAGAGATGTGTCTTGGAAAAGTCACTGTCTACATTGATTGATAAGATGATTACAGAGGGTTAGCAATATTAACCGCCCTAGAACTGTGCCTTCAGGCTATCCAGCTTGCATGCTTGCCCCTGTGCCTATTCACATCATGGTCCCTGCACCCAAACCCACACACACACCCCTACCTGTGCAAGCCAAAACATTTCTGTCTTATTTTGTTGTGGTGGTTGGCATATTTCTTTTAGTACCCAATTCCCTCTATGGTGGAATATCTCAAGAGGCTAAAAGTGATTAACCTTGGCTTAGTTTCAACTTCTTTAAGATAGCAAATGCTTCCACTCAACAATCTTTCATTCTACCATAGCTTTTTTGAGTAGTTATTACATGCTAGACATAAATAATAACTAGTCAATTTAGTCAGCACTTGAAATGGATAGAGACATGTTCTAGATCACTTCAGTAAACTAGGATTTTATTTTTCTTATTGAGGTATAATAACATGATAATAGTTTTAGGTGTACAGCATAATGATTTTATATTTGCATGTATTGCAAAATGATCACCACATCAAGTCTCATTAACAGTCCATCACCATAGTTAACAAATTTTTTACTAATGATGAGAACTTTTAATATTTACTCTCAGCATACCTGTAGTCACCATACTGTACATTACAGCCCCAAGACTTACTTATTTTATCACTGGTCGCTGATACTTTTGGACCCCCTTCACCCATTTCACTCACCCTACCCCCACCTCCCACAGGATTGTTGAATGGAGCAGCAGTGCACCAACTGGAGTCAGGTAGCTCTTGCAGGACATCTTCCAGCACCATTCAGGCTATGATATTGATTCTCTGGAATTGGTTGAGACTTCTTTTGTATCTAGTAAATGGTCATATTTACTTCTGGAGTGCTTGAGAAGAGTGCTCCAATTGGAGGCAGGTGAAGACTTTAAATCCATTCGACTGAAGACTTTCAAACTTTAACCCACAGGAAGAAGTACATTTTATATCATCATTCAACCTACAAATATTAAGGTTCTACAAAATAATGCTTATATTTGCCATATTGGATGCATTCTCATATATTCAATTCTATTTAGTTCTATAATTTAAATGGTGGTTATAAGTTTGATTTATAGCCATTAGTGGATTGCTATAATTTGGTAAAATTGTTTCAGATTATTTGTTAATTGTGTTGTTCAAACTTCCTGTGTCCTTTATAGTTTTGTTTTCTCTGCTATATATATCTATTTAGGATAAAGATGTATTAAAAAATCACCTATTATAAATTTGCATTTATATTTTCTTCTTGTACACTGTCAAATTTTGCTTTTTATATGTTGAATATAAATGCATATAGATTTAGAACTATTCTTTGTAAGGAATTGTTCCCTTTATCGTTTGATAATGACCTCTTTATTCTAATGTATTGCTTTTTGCTGTAAAATCTACTTTGCTTTTATCATCTCTACTAAATTTCTTTTGGTTAATATTTGCCTTGTATAGCTTTTTGGTGATTCTGTTAGTTTCTGTTTTTTCTACGTCATTATGTTTTATTATCTAAAACATAATGACGTAGAAAATGATGTACTTCTTGTGAATGGACTTTAGCCACCTTCTTAAAAATGGAATCAGAATCTCTCTTTTTTTAAAAAATTTGTGAATCTAATCTATTTACATTTAT